ACTTATTTGAAAATTATTTTAACTACGGCCCGACGCTTCGGATGCTTTGCAGCCGTGGTCATGGCAGGCCGTAGTTAAAATATTTTTTAAAGTTTAACTAATATATATCGCGTTATAAACCGTTAAAGTGTTCTATTTAGAAGGATAAAAGTAAACTACTCAATTCTTAGACTTCTTTTTCCCCTCTAGGATATCATTGATTTATCCAAGGTCGAGGACGCCAGGTGAAGCGTTGGGACCTCAAAAAGTGGCAGGCCTACAATGGACAAGACTAGCAAGGGACAGACAAGCATACAAACTTTTAGAAAAGTCCTTTATCGAAGGATGAGCTGTTTGCAATTTTATTGTAATTCGATAAGTTTATGGTAACCTGATTGTAAAACAACAACAATTCCTTTTTTAAACATTATTGTTTTGTTGTAACAAATAGATTTCGCGTTTTAATCCGTTGGTAATGTTTTATTTATTCTGTGCTACTCAATTAAATAATCTTTAAAACTGAAACATTGCGCGTGCTAGTCTCTTGTTACTTATTTTATGTTAATATTATAACGGTACAGTTTTAATCCGTTTTATTTAATCTGTGCCACTCAACTACATAAACATTCAAAGTTTAAACGGAAAAACACAAAAACGTGTCGAGTAATCACGGCTAAATATCGGAACGTTTAACAAAACATTACGGTAAATTTACTTTTATGCCGGTATTGCATAAAACCTATCCAGAGTAACGTTGGAAACGATGATCACTCTTGACGTTTACAGGGAACAACACTCGAATCACCCACCTCCTCACTTTACCTCCCCCCCAGTTCTAGAACTGAGAAGGCGTGCGGTTTCAAGTAAAAAGTCAGATGGTTTTTTATTAAAACCTTTTGTTTGATACACTCCACTACTTATGAATCTTCTAGTTAAAACTAAACTTCACTTTGCGGATACAACCCGGTAATCTGTTAACAAATGAAGAACGAAAAATAAATTCACATAGTTTATATGGAGTTTTAATATTGTATATATTTAAATTTAACACTTTCAACGGTTTAAAAAGCCAAATTTATTAGTAAACTTCTTTTTAATTTATTTTTACTTTGGCCCGTAAAGTGTTTTATTTAAAGGTACTCGCATAAACGACACAATGTTATATGTGAAATTTTGGACCTCGTTAGAAAGGGATTATGAATATTAGCAATTTGGAATATGTTCCCAAGCCTTGACAGTACATGTACCTACTGTACGCATATGTTATATTTGTTTAATATAGAAAATTGATGCTCACTACGAGTATGGTGATTTTTATGGTTATTATTTAGCGAAAATACAAAACATGAGCTATGTGAATCGATATGTTGTAAAAGCTCTCCATTCTCTCCACCATCTCCATCTCCACGCTCCTCCCGTGGGCCTTCAAACTTCTTATCTTCTATATTCTTCTTTTCTTCATCCTATGTTCTTTAGAGTTCGAGGAAATAATAATTACGTATATATAAAATATAGTAAACGTCCTTAAATTAGTTATTAATCGATATATCTTAACGCCTTAATCTATACTAATATAAAAGGCTGAAGAGTTTGTTTGTTAGTTTGAACGCGTTAATCTCAGGAAGTACTGGTTCAAATAGATTTTTGTTATGTTAGGTAGAGCATTTATCGAGGAAGGTTATAGGCTATAAAGCGTCGCCCTCTGACTTATACAAGCAAAGATACCGTGAGATATGTGAAGAAAATTGGGAACATTATTCATAATTATGAGTTTCCGAGGCGTACGCTGCAAAAAGGGTTCAAGACACCCAAAAAATATGTACGAGAGAGTGATTTCTCTTTCAATTATTAAAAAAAGTCCGGGACGCTATACTTCTATCTTTTAAGATTAACTTTCAAGAACGATGGGAAAGGACGCGACCGATGTCGTAGTTAACAGCTTAAGTTTATAAAGATGAAGGGGTTTGCAAAAACGAATTTTGATGCCCAAAATAAAGATTCTCGCGGACGAAGTCGCTGACTCAGCTAGTATGTTATAAAGGCTATCTCTCCACGCTCCTTCCGTGGACCTTGTAACAATTACTCTCTTATGTTCTATTTTTTTCTTTCCTACATCCTATATTCTTTAAAGTATGAGGAATAAAACATAAATTGTGTTTAAATTACTTATTAGATATATCTTAACGTGTTAATAAGATATATAGCATTTGACGTTAAATAAATAGATATCAACTTTACAGTAAACGATCCGGTTGTAATTCCTTGCGACATTAGAATAAAGGGTATCTTTTAAGGTTTCCCAGTTCACTCACAGCCTTACCCGTTACACGTTTTCGTCGTAACTAAGTAAGTTTCGCGGAATAACTGGAAATCTGTGATTCTCCTTAACTTCCAATTCGCGTAAATCTATTTTGTCGTTTATTTTATTTACTTTATTTAAACCTTAGTTATATTTATAAAGAAAAAAAAATATTGATGTATGTATCAAAATTTAATATCCTAATGCTGGGCAGAGGTCTGTTAACCCCCCCGCGAAAGAGTTTAGGAGCTTAGACCCCAATCATCCTAGTGTTACTTTATCGACGGCTTAATGTTCACTTTGAGGCACGGTTTATAAAACATACTTTCAAATCCCAATTTCTTAAAAAAAAATTAAATATGTACTAAATTTCCATTTCCCTGGATTTGAATTTCGAATTCAGGACCTTCGATTTAAAAGGCTGAGGAGTTGGTTTGCGAAAATAAATAATATTATAATGCCCAAAATAACTGTTTAACGCGGAAGTCGTAGGCACAGCTAGTCTTTGTCATGACCTTTAAAAAAGTAGGTATAAACTGTTTTTATTTAATACTCAGCACTAATGTGTGTATCATTTTTACGTACACAGGCATACAAAGCAGTATAAAAAAATAAAAAAATAAATGATTATCTTGCCTTCCAAGAACTCTGACATTCGTGTCTGCAATATTTATAAGTAATCAAGAAGATAGGCCGTATAGATTTCGATTTTCGATCCTTAATTGTACATTCAACAAAATAGTTTTCAAGCTTCCTGCGTTTGTTAGTTCTCTGTATATCTGTGGTTTGTTAATAATATCATCTGTATACCTAAACTAATTTGAAAATGCCATCTTCTGTGTAAATTTTGTCTTAGACAGTAGGTACATATTCGTTATCTGTGCAACATTAATAATCTGTAGAATACCAGAATATAATATTCAAAACATCCTTAATCATTTATTAGTAGTGTTTTATGTTAAATGCTTTGACTGTATACATATGCATTTTATTATAAAAATTGGAAGTCTAACGGGATGACTATGTAACGCGTTACGTAACGACGCGGTTAATCCTTTCATAAGTCACCGCCTTAGTATAATAACGATTTATTAATAGTTCGATTAGCAATATGATTCCGTAATTTCCATCATTCGCTTTGATTTAAATTCGTCACGTGATTCCGTCTGCTGTTGATTAAAATAGCTCTACAATCTACTGTGTGGCTACGGCGTAGTACCGTCCTGTACTTAAAATAGCTACGGGGTTCATACTCGTACACTTTTCAAAGGTTTTCAGTTATCTGTCATAAACTACAGAAATACAGTAGAGAAAATGGCCAAATACGTCAAACGTCACTAAAGTTTTTACTTACCTACGCGAAACAAGTACCTAGATAGGTGATAAACTTGTTGTTATAATAGAGGGGGGCAAACAAGCATGGGATTCTCTTCATGGAAGGTGTAATACCCCAGCCATACTTATAACATCTTAGCGCGAAGCGCTGCCGACAGATTTTGACTTTTCATAATCAGAAATCCACAGACTGCAACCAAAACGCACTATACATCACGTATTTTTCATCTGTGGACGGTATGTGAATGAAATTTCTAGAAAGTTTATTAAAGGAACATAACTCTAAATGGTGAAACACCTGCCGAGAGGCATTTTATGCCAATGAGAGCGTATTAATTTCAAAGAGACGTAAATAAGTTCAAAGTTCAAGAGGCCACTGGGTAACTGAACGTAATGAAGTTTAAAGGTCTTCCTTGGCTATCTGGATGTTTCGATCTCCGTAGCGGCGTAGGTGGATACGTAGGCCGATCATCGCTTTAAATGTCGACAGGCGTCGCTATTAATACATAATGTTATTACCTAAATGTCAATAACCCAATTTCGTGGTATAAATTTTATTAATTTTGATTTTTAAACAGTTAGAAGTGTTTTTAACCGTTAAAATCACTAATCTGCATATGCGGATTAACTACAGACCAAAACTTTGACCACTAAATACTAAAAACAATAATTTTATCACACATATTCACATTAAGTAGGTGAAAAAAAATTATCATAAAAATGCATCTTATGTATACATATAACATACACGGATAGATAATAAATAGCTATAGTTAATCATAATTTTCGTATTTCACGCCTAAATGAAATACCGTACGAAAACATAAGAGAATTTCCTCCGAGCATAACCATAAAAGGCACAAAGCTTGTTCCACATTCATCGCACAGAGTGTACCCTGTGTCATTGTAAATGAACTCGCAATAATTTACCCCTCCGGATTCGTTCCTTTCCTAACTAGACAGATCGGACGACTAGTCGCTCAACTAGTTAGTCAACTAATCAAGAAAAATCTATTAATCACTCGACGTTGGTATTTCATGATAAATAATCATTTTGATATTAATGATATTCTTTGCTTCCGAACTGTTTTTAGTATATATGATTCGTTTATTAAAATTCATATTGAAAACATTTTACGACACGGGCAGGGTTTCGTGCAGTTTCTCTAACCAATTGAGCTACCGTCTCATACGTTGGACTTTTTGGTTCTGTAGTGCAACATGTGAAACATATTAAAGTTTTCAAATTATTCGTTCATCTGACCTCTGTAACCACCGAGAAATCTTCTATGATTCCATAAACTATTTAATCAGATGTCAAGTAACGTCTGATAGCGGATTAGATTAAAAACGTCAAAAAATACGATAAATTCTCCGTGGAACAAAAATGAAATCAGTCGATACATCCAGACCTTCCGGTTCTACCTTGAGCCTTCAAACGAGGACCTGCAACTCGGCACCGAATCTACGAAGACGGAAGTACGGCTTACGGAAATCTGTTCCAGCTGCAATAGTGCTCTGGGCGTTTCACAAGATCCCTGCGAAAGAAGGGCTAACAGCGCAGCGTTTGATAAGTTTCCTAAAAAAGCACTATAAAATGGATTACTCGACAAAAGGGAGTAAATCACTGACGACCATTTTAAGATGTGCTGTTGAATTTGGTTTGTTGCATAAACGTGGAAACCGGTACTTCCTAACACACAGCGAATCATAGTTAAAGATGTGTTTACCCCAGTTGTGTTGTTTGTCGTAACTACAATGTATGTACGAGCGAAAGTAACTAATGTTAATATAAATAAAAATTGAAATAGACTTCCTGTGCCTGCCTTTTAATTGGCTATCAAAGTTTTAATAATAAAACAAAATTTCAATCAATAATAGTTATAATTCATATATCGCAAACTTGTATTTACATGATCTCTTAAAATATATTGAACAACAAAAATACTAATCGGTGTACTTATACTGATTTATGCGATCCTCTTCACTTAACATTGGGATTCCGCAGACTAGCATGTCTGCATTATATTTGTGTTCAGCATTAGCTATTTTTAAATATTTGATGACTATAAAAGCAGTTAACTAAGTTTCATTTGGAATGCTTACATACAAGACACCTATAAATACATACCTAAGTGGCTAAACCGATTTTGAAGCCAATAACAATGTAGGTATGTACAGATTAACAAATTTTTTAACACGTAAGACCTGCATTGGGACCAACGATTGACCAAATGTTTGTTTTTGGAACGAACGTTGGCAACTGCAGGTGCGTTTCTACTGAACGGATTAAGAGCGACGAGGTGTTTAGAAGAGCAGGTCTTCGTCGCCTTCATCAAGAAGATTGGCGATGTCACGTACGTCAGCACCGGCGGCTTTTAATGCGGCTTTTTCCTGTGAAAATAATATAGTACAATCACTCGATGAACTGTGACATGGAATCGGCTGACCCACTTTGGGACGCTGGGCTAATGGAATAAATGAGTACAATATTATTGCCCACTTATGGAACGCAACACAATGTATAAAGAACTTGGTAAAGGCATTTAAAACAAATAACACATTTCTTTTCTTTTACATCTTTGTTAGTTTTGTTGGTAGTAAGTATTGCAAAGTGTCTGCCATACAAACTTGAATGTAGTCTTCAATCCATTTCTTGTTTAAGACAAAATCTTGTGCAATTTACCATATGATTAATCATTTAAAAATCGAAAATAAATTGAAAAAATTTCGACTCGGGCAGGACTTGAACCGGCATCGTCAGCTTTCCGTGCTCTACCAATTGAGCTACCGAGTCCTACACCTCATGGTCGAATTTTTTCAACTTATTGATACATGCACCTCTCGCGCAATGTAATTTCAACCTTAACACTTGCTGCTGACAAAAAGCTGACGATGCCGGTTCAAGTCCTGCCTGAGTCGAAAATATTTTCAATTTATTTTGGATTTTTAAATTATATAGTGCCTTCATGTGCAATAACATGTGAAAAATATTAATGTTTTCAAATATGAATTATCATTTGTGTTATATGTTACAAAAAATGTCTAATAAGAGATAATTAATTTATTTCAATGTTATATACATTCTTGAATGAAAGATTTAAAAAAAAAACTTTAACTTACAGCTTCTGCCTTGTCTTTAATGATTTTCTTCTTGTCCTGGATCTTCTTCAGCCGGTAGAATTCTTCACGCTCCACTTCATCCAACTCGGAAATAATGTAATGCAATGTTGCTTCCAGTCGTGGGATGATGACTGTAATTTAAATATAAGGAGTCAGTTTATTATGTCAAATAACCAGTATATATGTGCACATAATGTGTTAGTCTGTTGTGGAAAAATAAGCTAAGTGTTTTATTGATTAAAGAAATTTCAGTAAATTTTAGAAAAACAGATTCTCATATGGAATAGGCACATAGTAGGAAGCCACTATTTCTGATCTTTGTACAAGCCATCATCACTCACCATGCTCAATAGCATTAACACGTCTGTTTGTGACCTTAATCACTTCATCAAGAGTGACGAAAGAGGTCTGAAGAGACGCTAACTCAACCAGAAGCTTCACAGCACTCTGGAAGTTCTTCTTAAGCTTTGACAGTTGCTGTCCACCTCGTGCAAGACCAGCTAGCTCATAAGTATCAGAGCCATCTTGGTAAGACTCAAAAATTGGGAGTGTGACACCTGAAAACAATAATAAAGTAATGATTACAGAGTAAGTAAGAGTTGAGGAAGGTTTGAAAGGGTAATTTTTTAAATAGGCATTTGCATTAAAAATTGTTTTCAATGAGATATAATTAAAAAATATGCTTCTAAAAGTCATTTGCTCCATTATCATATACAATATGATACATTTTTACAGTTTAACATATAAAGCACATTTTTAAAAACAATATTAGCTAAGAGATTTTTCCTACTTTACTGTCTTTGTCTCACATTATATTTTATTTTAAAGACATACCAGCCACATTGTCTTTCTTTGAACGAATTTTGATCTGAGCCTTGGTGACGTTTTGTAAAACAACCTGGTTAAAGTCCCCTGTGGTGAACTTAGCTTCTGCTAAGGAAAATGCTGCTTCTTTCATAACTTCACCCATCAGGGTTTTAGTCTGCAAGAAATTATATCAACTAAATGAGTGTTATAATTACTGAAAACAAAACCTCATTCCATAAATGTATGAACCTAGTTATTTTAATAGAAAATAACTTTTTCAAATGTTTATGATAAAGTACAGTAAGCATTCTTTCCACCCAATCTTCCTTTGATCATTTTTAATAAATAAAATAATCCACAGTTACCATGCAAAGAGAAAAGTTTCTTACCTCAATTATTTTGCTCAAGATCATACGGAACCTCACTTGCAAAGCATCAGCTTTTTTCTTAAGAAGTCCATGACCCTTTTGTGCTCCAGCCAAACGGCTTTTCATCAACATTTGAGCACTGAAAGGTACATAATAAGGTAGAATTAAAGGTAGAGAATAAAGCTATTTATTAACTGGTGTCGTAGTTAAATTCTCAGGGATATAGATATTAAAGTAACTTACCCTCTGGACGGGAAAATCGGTAACCTATCCTTTGCAGACATTTTCTGTTGTTTTTATCTATTTAAACAACAGTAACTTATTTTCAGGAATTACTCCCAATCCCAATCACCTGATGGCTGATGACAGTAGACAGCTCGATAATAAGCGTTGTCTATGACTGATCTTGTGATCTTGCTCTCAAAATCAAGTTTCATTATTTTTTATCTTTTGAACAATGTTTAAGATTTTTGGCATATCAAGGCAATTCACTGTGTATATTACTAAAAATCCCAAAAACAATAATGAAGAAATTGAATATATAAATATTTAAGAAGCGATTTAAAAAAAAAATGATTTGGCAAATACACTACCTATGAATTGTTTAAGATTGATATTATAGACTACGAAAATTGCCTCTGTGGCACAGTATGGAATGTAAATTGTCTAGTAGTATTTTAAGGTAGAAAAACATTGCGTAGAAAAATAAAAAAAGGAAAGTATAACTAAGCAATAGATGCCAATTTGGCACGATACAAAAATGTCTGTTTTCTTTTCCTCACTATTTATAAACAGTAAAGTTTGAACTAATACTTTAACTCCGTAATGGCATTATTATAATTAAAAGACTGAAAATTTAGTTTAATCTGATAAATACAACAACATGAGGGTTTAATGGTTAATATGTCACTGAATTTGTGTCGGATATGTCTTGAAAGTAGAGCTACTTTGCCTCTATTTGATAGTGTTACCGAAAAAAACGATTTACTTACAAAACTAGAATATTGTGTTAAGGAAAGTGTAAGTAATAACATTAGTCCATTTATCTTTATTTGCAGCATCAAACGTGAATTCTAATTAAACTGTTCTGTTCATACATCTATGAACTGCTCGTTTTAAATTCCCAATAAGACATACAGAACTTAAAGCCATTGTTTTTACCATGATAATAAGAATCAAATCGACTTTTTATTCACGTCTATCAATATTTTTTTACAGATAAATGATGTAGATGGACATCCACGCCACATATGTTCAGCATGTAATGAAGTTCTACATGATTTGTATAAATTCATTAAAAAATTTCAAGAATCATGTGTTGTACTTCAGAATAACTCTATAGTAAAATTAGAAAGATTGGACTTTAGTGATGATGATTACAGTGGAAAGATTGAAGTTGAAATAAAACAAGAAAACCGTTTAGAACAAAGTAGTGATGATGAATTACTTAGTGCTTTTAAAAATGTGGTTGAAAAGAAAACCAAAGTGGAAAATAAAACAACTGTAGCTAAAACAAAAAGACAGAAGAAATCACCTTTAATAAGTACAAATAATATAGCATCTTCAATTTTAGAAGGTGAATATATGTGGATTGGAGAAACATGGTGGTAAATTCTATAGTCTTGTACCTTTAGTTGTATTTTATAATAAGTAAGTAAGCAATATACATTTTTGTCATTTGCAGTATTAAACCAAGGAACCTCTCAATGCCTGTAAAAAAAGAAAATGCTAAATTGCAAGCAGTTGTTAAAAAAAAGAGAGTTCAAATAAAATTACCTAAAGTAGTAAAAGAAAATACACCTAAGTTATGTGATCTGTGTGGCATGACATTTAAAAATCAAGACAGTTTAGCTATACATAAGCGGAAGGTGCACTTTCAATCGCCAGTAAAATGTACAGAGTGCCCGCGGGTGTTATGCTCCAACTATTATTTTCAGAGACATATGAAAAGATGTCATTCAAGTAACAAAAACTTTATATGCTCCACTTGTGGGGCAACTTTTGCATTTGTGGGAGAGTTGAAACGGCATATTAAGAATGTCCATAACAAACATCTGATAGTAAAGAAAGAGTTTCGTTGCAACCTATGTGATAAAGTATTTAAGTGTAATAAATCAGTTGTTGTTCATACAAGATCAGCTCACACAGGTATGGTGACATTTTTTGGGTTTTCGCTTTTATTAATGTATAAATTCACTTATATTAAGTCTCATATAGATTTGCAAGATATTATATCTTTAAAAGAGTTAATAAAAACTAAAATTTTAGGTTATAGACCTGCGCAGTGCACTGTGTGTGATAGTAGTTTTTACCATGAAGATTACCTAAGGGAGCATATGCGCCTACACACAGGTGAAACTCCATTTAAATGCCCAATTTGTAATCGAGGATATGCTCAGAGAGGAAATATGAAGAGCCACCTCAGAATACATAGACTATCAGAAGTAGATGCCAGTGTTCTTAGTAAAATGAAACCTAATTATGTGAGACTTTTAAAACAATAAGTGTAAAGTATTGTATGAGGAAGTTGGTCATTCAATTATAAGTTACAAAGAGTCATATTAGTCAAACTACTGCAATAATTGGTCTGCCCTATGATAGAGGTTAATTACGTAATCTTGATAATTTGGAAATGATATATCTATACCCAAAAATTATACCAAAATGTTACAGATTGTTACACACAGGTGTATAAATTTATTTACAAAATCTCTATATGTTTATTTATGTTTAAGGGGAAATTAATAATTTTGTTGATGTTGGTTAAAACTTTAATTACCTATTAAGTTCTCTCAAATTTTTGTAACTTAAATTGCTTAAGTGAGGACACGAAAGCATTTTAAGTTAATTTTAGAATGATATACAGTGAAGGATGGCTGTAGTTTGTTTGTTGTCGGTTTAAAAATATTATTATGTTTATCAATAAGTAGGTAATACAAATATTTTAAAAGAATTCTTACTAAAACATTGTTTTATTTGTGTACTTTTTCATTATTCGTAGTTTTTGGCAGGTTTCACTCATGTAGTGAAATAGCTTATCACCAACTTGTACAAGCAATAAAAAGTTTGGTAAATCAAATAGTCAAGAAAAAGCCATGCATATAAGACTCAGGAATGATTTCAAACACTATGACTACATAAACAACAGTAAACGGCTACACTTATTTCATATTGAAATCATTATTTTATGAGTCACTTTTATAACAGAGGTAATGTACAATGGTATTTGTATTTTGTCAATGTTGTAAGTTCATTGTCATTAAGCAAAAATATTAAAATAGTTTAAGGAAATACCAATCTAACTGTGCATTTAGTTTACATACATTTAAGCTAAGGCACATTTTATAATACGGCCGACGTAACTTGACAAGTCTGAACATAGGTTAGACGAACTTTGGCGCATGTATAATACGGCCGGCGTAACTTGGCAAGTCTGAACAGAGGTTAGACTAATTTTGGCGCATGTACACTCGTAAACTCGTTACTGGGATAAATGAATGATTTTACCTATAGCAAGCAAAAGTAACATACCAATAATTGATTCAAAGAGAATATGGGCTACGAATACTTATCTTTTACTAAAATACTAAGACAAAACAAAAGAGAAATAATACTACTAAATTTAACAATAAACAATCACCATTCTAACGCACTGCGCTCAAGACAGAGATAACGAAATCAACTCGAAGGAGTGACCGAGACACACTACTGTTTACTGAACATTACCGAATATGTACGAAGATTTACGAAATAACCAAATGTCCATACGTGTTCCCTGAGAGTGTCGTTGAATCGATTCCTATAGAAATGGAGAAAATTAGATCGTAAAAATATATTTGTATAAAAAGCTTTAAAGAAGGTAAAAATATGTATAAATAGTAATTATATAAATAATAACTCATATTTGACTAAATCGTCGTTCAATAAAGAAAAACAATTTTTTAATGATTTCATTTTCCTTTACAAGTAATCATGGTATCATTTATTAATAACACCATTGACTGTGCTCCTAAATCCATTCACTACAATAGCCCATGCGAATAAAAATCGATTACGAAGTTTAATAGAATAAACGGTCGCTTGTGTTGACAATGGGTCAATCTCTAGTCTAGATCTCCATCCCGCGCACCTCGCTCTCACCACCGTTAACACCCAAAGAAACATTTCTGCGCAGCGTATCGTGCTAAGATCAGACTTGCCAAGTTACGTCGGCCGTATTTTATTAATAATCAAAGTGATATACACTATACAGGCGAATACCCCATCCCTATTGTCAAATGTCAATTGTCAAATTTGAAATGGTCTATCATATATTTGACAAAATAGAGTTGTTTTGATTTTGCATCTCGAAAATATTTGGTTCCTAAGTATAAGGTGTTTGTTTTTTGTTTTGAGCGAAAATTACAAAATTAGCAAATCTTGTCATCAGTGGATCAGTGAATACTATTGAATTGTAAATTTTATCGAACGTCGCTATGCTTCGCACTAAAATACATATAGCTATTAGCGCTTTCGGTGCATTCCTTGGGTTATCGGCGTTTATATGTTTTTGCATTGTTTACGCAAATATTGAAGCTGGAATGTGGGCGTTATTGTCTGGTAAATTTGCCTAATTACCTATTACACATTTTCAGATTTAAACGAAACACGATTTTATTTCACTTTATTCTAGAAGTATAAAAGTCAAAAACTATAAAAAGCAAATCCTTTCGGCGTTGAATATTTCATAATATATTTTCAGGTGTCCATGCGGCGTTAACTTTGATGTTGCACTGCCATTATCTGAAAGAATCATTGCATGTAAACTTCTCAAGAAAGGCTCTACAGTATATTGGTGATTTTGGAATAGTTGGATTTATATCTGGATTGGCATTAACTTTATTTTATCTTTTCTTGGAGATTTACTACAAAGCAGGTATGTTGTTTTATACTCGTAGTATTATTATATTATTATTACAATTGTTTATTTCAAAATGTAATAGTAGACATCCTAATCTAACTACATAAATGTTGTTTCTAGAAGAAATTAGACTTAAAACTCACGAACATTTATATTTTTTATAGATATACTTCCAATAAAGACCAGTATTGTTATAAGACTTGTCTGGTCCTTTATGATGATGAAATGGGGATTAATTCTATATGTCTTCACAAAGAAGTACCTGCGTACTTATAACGATCATCAGCTATTTTCAGAGAACCCTAATATTGAAGAAACATAAGTATTACTGTTACTATAATATATAGAAGAGTTATAAAAGAATTTATATATACACTTTTTAGATAGTGATATGCATATTGTCAAAATTTATATGTACTATATACCACATATCTCACTTCCTGTGGTTTAAATTTTTTCTTTCAGTGTTCTTAGTTTTAGCTGTCTTGATAGTATTGTTTTTACTTAGTGGTTCAACTACTTGCAGCTAGTAAATATGTTGCAACAAGACCATAATATTTGAAAACTTTTAATTATTTTTTACATGTTATTGCACATGAAGGCACTATATAATTTAAAAATCGTTTTTTTGTAAATTATATAAGACCATAATATATTTTGCAAAATGTATAAGACAAAAAGAGCTTCATTAAATACAATAATATCTAATACATAATAAATTTGTACATTCTTATAGTAAAACAAATGAAAAGAAGTGTTAGGTAGGCATTTAGTAAGCTCTGTATTTAAAATTTTATGTGTAAAATGTGCATATGCAAAAGATTTTTTTAATAATTGCCAAAAAATATAATAATTTTTAACTTTAAACCCAGTATTGGAATGTTATCATAATACATATTTTTATTTTTAAATTAGTCAAATTAAGTATAAATTATTAGAAAATAAGGTGAAGCTTGACTGAACGTGAGGTGCCGGTATTATCAAAAGACTTTTTTTTGGTTTAATGTAGTATAAATGTTTTTACAAAATTATTCTTTTTACATATTTATCTTTGATTGATGTGGATGTAATGTTTTTATGTCTGGGTAGGGGTTTTGTTAATGTTAGGAAGGAAAATATGTCTGCGTATAATTTAGGACATGTTTTTTTTATTAATAAAGAGTTATTATATTATTTGTCTTTTATTGTCTGTGGTTGCTGGTGGTATGATTATTATTTTTTAGATACTGTCTATAGTTTACGCGAGTAGTACACATTTGAATAAAACACTTTAACGGTTTAAAACGCGATATATTAGTTAAACTTATTTGAAAATGATCGTTTTTTTCAGTCTCCCCGTGACCACGGCAAAGCATACGAAACGTCGGGCCGAAGTTAAAAATCATTTTCAAATAAGTTTAACTAATATATCGCGTTTTAAACCGTTAAAGTGTTTTATCTATTATTTTTTATTATGGAAACTAATAAAAGGCAGGGTGAGTCCACCGTATCTGCTGCCCATTTCACCCTGTTCCCCTTTGTTAACCCAATGTCATTTGGTTTATTTAACAATATGGGTATCATTTACCTTTTATTATACAAGTAAAGCGTTAAAGGTATGTCCTGCTACATGCTTACCATGTCTATCCATCTCATACAAACACAAAATCTAAAGACATTATAAACTACATATTTCGTAGTAAAACACCTTAAATTAAAAATCTCATTTGGTCAGAGCAACAGCACTGATCGCTGTAGTTGTGGGTTCGAGCCCGTTCACGTCTTAAATTTTTTCAATAATAATCTCTTTAAATGTAATATAAAGATAACGTTTAAAAAATAGTACCCTTTGTATTAAGTGTTTAATGATTTTTATGTATAAACTTTAACTAATATCCTTTAATATATTTGTCTCATTAGGACTAGACTTCTTAATTAAGTTTAAGACGTGAACTTCAGGTAACGGCTTTACGAAGTACTCTCAAGTCTTTAGTAGATTGTAGACGGTGTAGTCTATAGCACGTTGCGTTTGTGCTGGTTTGTAACGGCACAAGATAAATACGCGCGGAAGAATGCTTTTCAAGAAATAAAGTGAACATTTTTGAAACTAATTGTGATGAATAAATACAATATATAGTACAGTATTTGTGTGGATCTTAAAGAATAAGTAGGGGTAAGTTATTTTAAAAGTTATTTTAAGTTAAAGTTTGTTGCATTCAGAAATGCTTATCGCTAAGTTTAATATAATTATAATCGTGAAATAAAAAACAAAACAAAGAACAGATATTTAGGTCTGTAGTTAACACGAATAGAACGCATTAAATAAAACACTTTAACGGCTTAACACGCAAAATATATTGGTTTTATTTTTTTAATTCGGAAGCGAGACGTTTCGGCGTTTTAAACTTATGCAAGATATTTGAAAGTGCCTGACACTTTCCTTCGACCAAATCTCTTGAAAGTCCAGTAGAAGAGATTACTGCTAATGCGAAATTTATTTGGTGGAGAGTAAAATACATCTCTCTTACACAATAGCCCATCGTGAGACAGATAAAATTAAGCCTCGCTTAATCTCTAATGCGTTTTTAACGTTTAACCGCGGGAAATAAGAGTAACCTAGGTTAGTTTATGTCCTAACCTTGCTATAGTTAGAATATGAGAACAAAAAATTTTCGACACAACTAAATTATTTAATGCATATATCTTTGTCTGTGACGTATTTTATATTTATTAATGTAAGACTGGACCTAGATTAAAATTGCTTCTGAACATCTGCTTGTGAACCAGACACAATGTATCTGCCCTATGCCCAACATATTGGTTACTAATTATGTTGATAAAGGCACAAAATTACTCAGTAATATAATGCGGTTCTTTCTATTACTTGTTCAATTTTGCAAGCTATTAGATACGTGATACGCGTTCCGTTCCGATCCAACTGTGGATTTAATGATAGCGATAAGATTTTATTATTCACCTTAGATTAGTTGCAGGAAACAGAAATTACATAGTATTTCAAATATTCGTTAATTACATACAAACATCTCCATACCTCATTTCTAACTTTGAATTTTTTATAACATTTTAATTATATGGCAGCAATAAATAGCTAATAATATGATCATTAGTTCAAACATTTTAATTGTTATAACAAAATATACGATATCGCATATTGAGTTTAAAATTACCCTTAGATATATAAATTGACCGAATTTTAATCTTTCAGTCACTGAAATAAATATAGATAAAATTTCCTTGTATACAACAATATTGCATACTAGAAACTACGACACCATACTACAAATTAAAATGGTAGGAAAGCAATTTGGTAAATATAATGATTCGCCAAGAAGCAGTCTCCGGTACCCGCTAAGCGCGTTGCCCTTCCGCTAACTTCAAATACAACAAATTGGTGTCCATTACAATCCATTACCAAGATTTCCTCGGGCACTGACGGTCAGTGTTTTCCCAGGACTATTTATAATTATGAACAACCTTATAATTATTCGCACTATAAAACCAGAAGACGATCGTCTTCATTTCCGCTCGCAAGCCTTAACTCATAATAATTTATGCATAAGAAATACGTTCTTTGTATATAGGTACATAAGATTAATTATAACGTGATTTTTTTCGCAGTACAAGCGTTTAATTAATTTAAGTTTCTTTTCCATCTTATCATTATTTATATTTCGTATAAACAGTATGTCTGTCATTTTATTATGTCAGCTACTCAGTGAGGATCGGACCCACGACCCGTTATTTATAAGCCGTGCATTGCTACTATTAGACCACGTAGCCCTTTGAAAATTTTAATATTTTTCACATGTTATTGCACATAAAGGCACTATATATTTTCATAATCGAAAATAAATTGAAAAGATTTTCGACTGGGGCAGGACTTGAACCGGCATCGTCATCGTTCCGTGCTGTTGCTCTACCATTTGAGCTACCGAGTCCTCAATTGGTAGAGGTAGTCCTGCCCCAGTCGAAAATCTGTTCAATTTATTTTCGATTTTTAAATTATCAAGTAGCCCTTTACAAGTAAATATAAAATGTAAGTACATTAAACACATACCTACTAGCTAAGATTAATCTCCATCTTCTGTACATCGCCTTGCAAAAGATCCGGCGCACCATTGTGTACGGATCATTGTAGATCATTGTATCTTACGAAACGTAAGTGATATATAGGATCGTGTTAAACAAATAACACTGATACAACTAACAATTACAATTGCGAAGTATGTGCTATTTCAGTTATTTTTTGTACTTAGTTAATCTTTACTATTCTTCACAAGTAAATAACAATAAAATTGGTTAGAGCAGCAGCATAGAAAGTTGTGGATGCCGGTTCAAGTTCCGCCCGTGTCGTAATTTTTTCCTATCAATCTTAATTCGATTTTTAATCTATACTAATATATAAAGCTGAAGAGTTTGTTTGTTTGACATAATCTTTAGAACCATTAAACAATTATGTTTGTGTTGGTTAAAGCATTTATCGACGAAGGCTATAAAACATCGCGCTGCGAATAATAGGAGCAAAGAAGCAGCGGGAAGTGTGGAAAGAATGGGAAAAAATATATATTTCTGTGTGTTTCCGATGCGCACGGTACGGTTCAAGATATCCAAAAAATATGCACGGAAGAATGATTCCTCATTAAATGATTTACAAAATGGGTTTGTGTTGTACACATAATGTCTATCCTTTAAGAATAACTTGCAAGAACGACGGTACGCGTTCGACGTTGTGAGTAACAGCTTAAATAAAGATGAGAGGTTTGCAAAAACAAATTTGGATGCCCATAATTACTAATTTACGCGGGCGAAGTCGCTAAAACAGTTTCAAATAAATAACTTAATCCTACGGCCTTCTCAACAATTCTACGGCCGACAGCTATTTGCTTCTATTCTATAACGCCCACACATAAATTATCCATAAGTAGTCCTATTTGTTAAGACATATTTTCAAAACGTGACAACGTCTGGTCAGTTAAGTAACACTCGTAAAACGTATTGACAGATAAATGTTAGCTTTCGGTTACAAAGACATGTTACGTTCACTTTTGTATGTGTATCGAATTTCGTACAAAGAAAATGGATGTTACGATACTTTTTGTTTGAAGGTCGTGTTCTCGTATGCGTTAAGGATATCGAAATATTACTGGAGTATCTGCATATTCGTCCAAGAATTTAGAGGTCATATTTTGTAAGAAAACAGTTTTTGTAGACGGTGAGAATTAGATTACATTGACCGAACCATTTCATTTATACTTACTCTACATCAATTTAAACTGATTATTACAGCCATATTGTCTTTAAGCAGAGTATTGTCTGTAACTT